TGTTTCCAAGAAAAAATCTCAATAACTCAGAAATACCAATATCCGTAAATCAGTTGCATTTGGCACAGATGCCAATTGCTGGACACTACCAGGTGCCACCTGGAATGAATGAATGGATGCAAAACACAATAAATGCCTGAGGGGAATTTGTTTTCTATGTGTGTGTGTTTTAAGCATAAAAGTCATTGAAAATTAATTCAGTCATTCAAAAAATCTTAAAGACTATGCTGTAGCCTGGGATTCATGGCAATACTTCTTTAGAAGGCAGCAGGCCAAAGTCTTTCCTAAACTTGTGGCTGACTTTGGCCCTCCTGTGCTCAGACAATGTCTTAGAATCTTCCAACACGAGGCTGTAGACAGCCACGAGACCTGGACTGAGGGGGAAAGTCACTTTTACTTGCCACCCCCAGGAACTAGGCTTTTAGTAAAATCAACAAATACTTCCCAACTCTTTCTCATTACTTCAAAAGAATACTACAGTAGGTAGAAGTGCTTTAAAACTGAGCACAGAAGTGCATTTTCTGAGAAAAAAAAAGTGTATCAGTGTGTATGGGGGGGCAATCTGAGGCAAATATTATGGATAGACTGAATTTCGAATGATTGGATATTGTTACTCAGCTAATGTAGTACTGGAGCAATAAGATTCAGCACACTCTACTGTGAATCCTCTGATAATCAAAATGAGGGATTCCTTCATCAAAAGGTGAAAAAGAAAAAATAATTCATCTCTGTTCTTTAACTTATTCAGTGCAGCAGGTGGATTTCACCTCGTCACACCACTCAAAAAAAAGGAATTTAGTACAATGGCTCCCTGCCGGGCAAGAGTGTGTTTTTTTCTCTGTGCTACCTGCTAGACTCACTGAGAAAGCCTGGGGCATAATGGCCATAATCCTTAGTTTTTACAGTGAGCTTTCTGTTTCTAATTGGATGCACACACACACACACACTCTCTCTGTCCCTCCTTCCCTTCATCATTAATTTGTCTTTTTCTGATTCTTTCATAGGCTCTAGGCCTTTTGGGATTCTGACTTGAGAAAGAAGTCACTATACTAACAGACTCTGTGAATACGGCTTCTGGAGGGCTTGAGCCACTGCTCCAAAAGAGAAGCTGACGTTTAGCAAACTTGCTTTTCAAATCATCAACTTAGCTTTCACTTGACAGAGTTATCAATGGGGGACAAAAACAAAACATGAGCAAGAACAGGAGTGCGTCTGCCATGAGCTGTTAGGGGAGCACAAGCACGTTGGGAATCAAATGGCTTGACCCGTGGCACTGAAACATGTACTGCACATGTTTCCTCACAGTCAAGCTTCTGCTGTTTAAGAAAAAGGCACAACAGGTTATGTGTATCACAAAGTGAAAGGGAAAGAAGATTTAGAATAGAAACAAAACTTTCTTTTCTTTCTTTTTTAGAAAGAATACTGCAGACATCAAAGACAAAATTCAGAGCTAACAAGGATGGAGCCACAAAGATGGGCCTTTGCCAAATGTGCTTTACAAGACTCACCAAGAATAACTCCAACATCGTTCTTTTTCTTATTTTTAATTAAGGAGGAGGTGCTGTAGTATTTTAAGGAAGCTATCTGGATGCTGCTGGCTGAAACACAGATTTGATCTTCTCGTGTTGGTTAGCTAACATTGATTTTCTGCCCCAGTGGAAGAGATTTTACTCGGATGCATGCCATTTAAATTCATTTTACACAGCTGCTTAATGTGGCTTGGCAAGGCACCGCCAAACTGCCTTTGTGGGTCTAAACAGGACTCCTGAGTTGGTAAAGGGCTGATCCTATGATTAGTAGCTGATGATAAACGCTTTTCTCCCTCCACTGTTATCTTCCTACTACTGACTCATGAAGTGACCTTGAAGGTACCACAAGAAAGGAAAAAAGAGGAAAAAGACAAGTACCCCCAAATAAGTTAATGCTGTATTTGTTATTTCCATTTTTAGGATTACAGGCACGGAATTTGGTATTTGTTGGTCCACACTCAGGGCCATGTTTACAGGATTCACAACTCTCAATCGCAACACTATCATTTACTCTTGCTGTCTAGATAAATGTATACCGAATACATAACCATTAAAAAGTTCTCTGTCATGAATTCATAACAAGTAGTGAAAATGTATTTCTATAAATTTGGTCTTTAAACAAAGCTAGTTGACTGTTCTTTTTATTTTAACCAAAAACATGGTGTATGTTTCTATTGAAATTACCTGATTCAATCCACGTAGTATAATCTTATTGTTAGTATATGCAAAATGACACCAATAATAATATTTTGCTTGGTAAATCACTCAATAACAAGCTACCTTTAGAGCATTTACGAACCTAAAAAAGGTCACAGTCTGATATTATATAGTTTTGTAGTAGGAAAGAAGAGATACTTCTTGTTGCTGTATGTAATTCCTGTGTTGAAATTGATGATAATATGGCAATACTGTATTTAGACAGAAAATTCTGTATTGGATGATTTGGTTATAAATTCCTGGTGACTTCAATATTCTAAAACTCCTTGTAGAGGGAAATAACAGAAATCTTTAGCATAGACGTTTGTTTGGTGAAGATATGAAGAAGGCCCTCATACGTCCTATTAATAATCTAAGTCAAGTCTCCCATGGTGAGTCTCTTGTCAAATAGGGTTGCTGCACTCTGAACTCAGGAGTGTGTATGGGAGCAGGTCGTTGTAGTGGCAGCAATGACAATAACACAGTCATGATAACGGTTCTGCACAAGTTCCTAGGCAACAAGATGACAACAGTGGGTGAAATGCTGCCACAGTAGGCGATTTCCTTACTGTTACGTAGATAAAAGGTATTATTTCCCTCTCAGACATGAAGGGAGGAAGCCATGCCACAGCCATGCGCAGACAGGACTGGGACGCATGCGGGTTCCACCGAACTACCACAGTACCGTAAGAATGAAAAACCAAACAGAACAAAACAAACAAAAACCCAAAACAAACAGAAGTAAACAAAAAGACAACCCCCTCCAAAATGGATTTCCTCTCAGGGCCTTTCACTGTCTTGTTTTGGGCGTTCCTTTTACAGCCAGATGGCACGTCCCTTAACAGCTATGCCCACAGGCCCCGCAGCGAGTCAGGGTGTGTGGCTACCTACCCGTACTGGTCAGGCTGGTGCACCATGGGAGCCTGAGAGTTGCCATAGTTGGGGTGCTGGGAAGAAAACATGGGGCGTCCGCCAGCCCCAGACTGGCTGGGATAAGCAGGCGACCTAATGTATGGTGGCCTAAAGTAGAACAGAAGAACAACTGCTTTGGATTTGTTCTGCAGACAAATAGGAATCCCCCTGTCCACTAGTCACCTCCACACATAGGTGTGGAGGGTATGGAACGTGGCCTAATACTCTGTACCATGCAGCTGCCTGGGAATGGAACTGGATTTAACATTTCTTTGAAAAAAAAAAGGGTAGGGGACAGGGCAGAGGAGAGAGAAAAGTGAGATTCTCAAAGCTAATCTTGGTTTACAGTTCTTATGCATAACTTTGGCTTCGGTAAATGCCAAAAAATATACTGTCCCTATTTGACCTTCTGCAGACCTAGGATGGGCAGTATGTGGAGGCAAGGCTTGGAATGGGCAACTGGTTCAAAATAGAAATGAAAATGCATGGATTTATACATTAATTTATATAAAATGATACATAAACTGATTCAGAAAGGAGCAGAATAAGAGTTTTTAGTCAGACAATTATGCCTTCATCTCTAGTTATCTTCCCAGATCACTATTCAAGGCTTCATGTCAAAGGCAATCAATACTTTTTACTTAAAAAGAGAATAACTTGTGCTTTATGAGTTGCAACAATGGACAGTTCATTTAAATCTAACTTAGAACTTCAGTTGGACCAGCAAACCAGTCTTCACAGACAAGTTCATTAAAACATCCCCTGAAGCCGCAGCAGGTTCAGTTTAGTACGTTGCTGGGGTTCAGAAGATTTTAAGTAATTATAATGTGGATAAGAGAGGGAGATAATGACTGATTCTTCAAGGGAAACTTATTATTATTTGGAGCAAACAGTGAGACTGGAGGGGGTCCCTAACATTCCCAAAATTGCACTGTCAGAGGAAAAGTAACAAACGGACACATTTAAAATCACACATACACACATACATACACACACATATTAGCTTTTATTTCCTTTTGACAAAAATCAGAACCTTCTATCTTTTCTTCAAAAGATACCGAACCATCATACATATCTCTCAATGTGCTTTAAAAAATATTTTAACATATGTTAAACATAATTTAAAACATTTACATGTGCTTTCAAAACATACTCACTTTTGCCTCATACATTTTTAATTAAGTATGTTATTTTTATTCAGGTCAAGGATTTACTTCAAGAATTTTAAAAACCAGGATTAAAAACAAGTAAGTAATTGAAGCTAAAGCTCTGCTCTAACTTAAACTTTCTGAAATACTATCTTTGCTTTATTAACCGTATTTTGGTTTGGACAGATAGAGAGGTATGCCCAGAAAAATAAAACATAAGAATATGAAGTATATAAATCTCACACATATACATTTAGACAAACACACACAGTACACATATGCGCATGTACAAAGTTTCTATTTTGTAACGATTTTTATAGTGGGGTAAAAAAAGGGGCTGGGTTCTTTTTCAAGATTTTAACTCGTTTTTAGGCTTTAGAATTTCCTACCTAAACCTTGCTGCTTTAAATGGAACTACAAAGACCCTATCAAGGGCCTGGCCCTGGGTCGCTGGATGTAATGACAATTCACGGCCGTTTCAGATAACCTCCCACAGAGGACTTGCCCACCACTCAGATTCCTTCCTTGAAATCTCATAGAACACAGTCTCTCATTTACTTCTCTGACCTGTACGGTACAGAATATAACACAAAAAATCGCCAAGCGGAGTCCCACTCTCCTGCCCTCCAGCCCTGTGTGCCCCTGGGGATGTGCGGCTCTGTGCTCGGCATGTGCTCACGTGCCTGCACGCGGACCACCCGCCCCGCCGGCGTACCTGCTCTGTGCCGAGTTTGCAGCGGCCTGCATCACTGCGGCGGCTGCCTCCTGTGCCTTACGGTTCACGGTTGGCATTGGTGGCCCCATTCCTGGCCCTCCCTGCTGAGACATGCCAGGAGAACTGGGGGTCATGCTGCTCATATTTCCAGGAAATGGTCTGTTCTGCATCCCAGCTGATGGCATTCGTCCCAGGGGCAGAGCACCACATGGTTGGCTTGGCCCTTGCCCATGCATCTGGTTGTTGGCATTGATGCCCATGCCGGGCCCTGGGCCGCTGTAGCTTGCACTGGGCACCCCACTATATGCTGGGGGTCTGGAGTAGTTACCTAAACAAAAGGAAACACAAATTAAAGTCTTTTACTTAATATCTGGACTCGGGAAAACATTCACTGGAAATACTTCTTGTCTAACAACATGATCAACACACAATATCAGTTATTATCCTTATTAACCCTTCCTCTGTTGGCACTGATGACGCTGGCAGTCTCAAAATATGCTGTCTCTGCACATTCCAAAAGCAAGCGCCACAGAGGGCCATTACATCATGGGGGGAAATCCAGGCTGGTCACCAAAACCCTCTCCAAGCAGACGAGGGATGCCAGCGTTGACTGAGTGCTGGTTCAATGTATCGGACATTACAGCCTCACGTCTGACTCAGAGTAATTACTTGGGCTCCGGTCCTGAGGTGAGCGCCATCCTGAGGCTGCCCTACATCTACCACAACCGACAGTTACAGGAAAGGGTTAGGAAACAGCACCCAAGGCAGAGTGAGCAGATGGTCAAAACTGCCCTCTGAAATCCCACAGGAGCTGTCCTGCAGAGACTCGACCTGAGTCCCGGCGCGGCCAGTTCTTCTCCAGTGTTGGGACCCCCTCCCCTTTTCGCTTGAACGCCAGATAAAGCAGCTGGCTTGTGCTCGGTGCCACGTCCTACAAAAGTTTCAAGGCCTCGCATGACAGAGCAGGGAGGTGGTGGCACGGCGGGAGCCGGCAGGGCCGAGGCCGAGACGAAGGACCTGCTCACACCTCCCGCCCTGCTCACACTGGGACCCACACTCACAGAGGAGAGAAGTAGCTATAATGGCCCAAATTATTCCAATAGTTTTGTTTTCTTTCTCCTCCCACCCATTATTTTGATTGAGTGTAGGTAAACTAAACTCAAGTAAATTAAATATATAACACTGCTCCAATAATAGTAATTGCAGGTAACCACTGCTGAGCCATATACTACATAGAAGACATGGGGCTCAGTGCTCTGCATCGGTGATTTCATTTCTCCAATAACCACAGGAAATAGAGGTGTGACTACGACTCCATTTACAAATGAAGAAAATCAACAACTAGTAGGTTAGGATTTGAGATCAAGCAAACTGTCTCTGGAACTCATGTAAATCAACCACTTAAGTATGCTGTCTCCCATTAAAGGGTTGCTCAAACAGATGCAAAAAGGCAAGTGCTTGCAGAACATGGATTAGTGTTTCTTGATTGGTCTTTATTACTTTCTGGAAGAATCTCATCCATGTAACATAACTTCTAGGTGCAGGGGTTATAAAATTAAATACAATCCAATTTCTGAGGTCAAGAGCTCACAATCGATGTGTGTGGGTGCAGGTACAGTAGCAGGGGTAAGACCAGAAAAATGCAAAAGCAAAACCATAAAGAGAATGCACTGTGAAAAGCGCAGGTGAAGGAACTCTGCTTGGGTGGGGGATGTAGGGGGCCCGCCTTGGTCAGGGGCATTCAGTGAAGAGTTCTTTGAATAAAGACACTGCTGGGCTGTGGTGCAGGCTCTGGGGTCTGGGAGAGCTGCAGCAGAGAGGAAGGTTCTGCATTTGCTGACTCTAAGACTGTGGTAACTTGTTTTAACCTTTCTTTGTTTCATTCTCTTCTCTATAAAACAAAGATAATCTCTCTCTAATACAGTCTGCTTAAGGAGCTGTCCTTAGGGAAAATATATAATGTATCTCAAAGGTGGGTGTGAAAATGGTCAGGGTTTGAGTGGTGGATGGTGCCTGAGGCAGGAGAGGGGCGGCCTCCCACAGAAAAGGCCATGCGCCACGGCCCTGGGAGCACTGTGGGGTGTGAGGTGGCACCAAGGGAAGGGGCCAGATTCAGCACAGCCTCGTGTACCAGGCTTCCAGGCTGGGGGTTTATCCTGAAGATCAGGAGGAGCTTCTCCAGGCTTCCCAGCAGAAACTGGGTTTGATAAGTAACAATAAAAGCAAATACTTGATATTGACTATGTACTAAGTCCAGTTCCAAGTTTTTAACTCATTTAATCTTTACAGCAAGCCTGAGAGGTCCCTATTATAACCGTGCTTTAGAGATGAACCCGTGGCACAGGGCGCAGAGTAGCTTGTCCCAGGATCATACGGCTTCTCAGGGGAGGAACAGCGGTTGCTCCCGGGTAGCTGCGAGTGCAGTTCAGAGTCCAAGGCTGCAGCAGTGTCACCGTGACTGTAAAACCAGCTTTTCATAAGCCTACACATAGAAAGCTGTGTCACCTACAAGCAAGACCTCCCTCCCTACTTTTCAAAACTGGCTGGGTGCTTGCTCTTTGTTAGGATAGGTGCATCGTGTGAGCTTTCCTACTTGGTTGTACATGATGTGCATTACCCATTGCAGATGGTATGAAAAGTCACTTTTACAAAGAGCACGGGCCACCACATTTTCTGTAAAGGGCTGGACAGTACGTATTTTAGGCTTTGTGGCCCAGATGGTCTCTGTCACAACCAAACTGCCTCTGTAGCCCCAACGTGGCCAGAGGCAATACAAACACAAATAGGAGTACCTGTGGTCCGATAAAACTTTATTTAGAAACACAGGTGGAGGGCCAAAGTAGGCCATAATCTGCTCACCCCTGTGACAGACCAGTCTTGGGACAAGCTAACAAAGTACTCCACCAGCAAAGAAAGTGACTCAGTAAAGCCACAGCTTCTTTGGCTCTGAATATCCTCAGGAAGGCTAAAGGAAGACTGAAGAAGAGGAACAGGGCGAGGCACTGGCAATCTAGGGAATGGAAAACGAAACGGAGAGGAAAATTCTGAAAGGGAACAGAAGGAAGGAACAGGACAGGTTGGACATAAATTATCTCAGGTGCCACTGGCTGCTATGTGAGCAAAGCTTTTATAGCCAGCTCCTCAAATTTAAACTGCCTTTTCATGAAGATCCTCTCTGCCTCTGCAGAAATAATCAAACTAGCATTGATTTCAAGGAAAAAGTAAGACATGCACTGTTTATCAACTTCAAAGTTCTTTATAAAAAGTTCTTAAGGGGCTTCCGACTTCCCCACCCCTTGAGACCATACAAACCGTCCCCGTCTATTTGTCTGTTGTGGCTTCTCGTTGGAAAGGGCACCTTACACTGACCCTGGTTGGGAGGGTCGCCGCGCAGTGGGCAGGCTGCTGTGTCCCGCCTCTTCCCCCGCCTCCTCAAAGCACTGTCCTCAGGACACTTCTCAGTGAGAAGGCGGCCTTCTCCTCCAGCTCCTCCCTGACCTCACATGCCCTTCTTTCCAGATTAGTGGTTGAGAACATCAGTGGAATATAGGCTCTGTTTGGCTCTTGCTTTTATTAAAAATAAACAAACTCATTCACAGTTTGAATGCAAATGAAATCGACTCACATATTCACGCTATTCTCTGTAGCTAGTTTCCACCCTCCTTCAACGTTTGGTAAGTGACTCATTCAGAAAGAAACGATTCAGTGAAAACATATACCCTTTGCTTTAGAAGGAAATGAAATAACACTTTAAACTTATTTTAGAAAACAAGCATTTAGACACGGTTATTGCAAACTGTGGCCACAATGCAGTTTTTTTTAAATGTAACAACATACATTTAATGTAATAGCTAATGTTTGACCCAAAAGTAAAATTGCCATCCCAAACACGAGTACAGCACTGGTTCTTGAGGTTCTGAGTTTTATGTCCATTACTTCCATGTTCAGAATGAGAAGTACTTTTTCCCCACCATTTTTTTCTGTTAAAACCATGATAATATAATGTGGCCCTCCCGCAGCACGAATGCATTATGAAATCTCACTGGTTTTTGGACTGGCCTTGGACAATTAAAGTAGGATCTGACTTAATAACACAATAGCATAAACATAAGCAAAAGTCAAATGCCCTGAAATTGCTTTTTAAAGAGGGTCTCACAGAAGATGCAGAACATGTCTGCTTGTTCAAGATTATTATTGAAATGACATACTAAAATATAGGAATTGTCTGGAGAGCTCCTGAAACTTGAGAATACATCTATGAGCCCCCTCCCAGGGGTCTATGAAACCCAGTTTGAGAAATACTGGGAAGGGTATTGAGACACACTAGCATACTGAGAGAAGTTTGGGTTTTGGATTCTAAAAGGCCAAGTCAGAATTCTAACTACATCAACTTCAGTAATTGTTTCATCTCTTTGAGCTCGTTTTCTGATCAATAAAATAGGAATAACAATGCCTCTTTTACCTAGTTAGTCTCATGATTCAATGAGGTAATAAAGTGTCTGGTATATTAGGTGCCCAATAATCCACAATGCAGTTTTATTAGAAAAGAAGGTTCCTGTTTTTGCTGAACTCCACTTAGAGCTGCAGCAGAGAAATGCTGTCACCTGGCTTCCATCACTGTGGGTATAGCCAGCAGTCAGGGGTTGTATTTTAAGCAGCACAAGGAAAAGAAACCGCTGAGATGTTCAGTTACCCTGGACCACTTCCATCTTTCTCGTTCACGTTTCATATTAAAAAGAGAAGAGCTGCGTTTCAATAGCTTTGCTCAGTTCAGCAGCTGATGGCAGGAAGCATTTGGCTATGGGGCGGAGTGTGCACCAGCACACGATGGCCACGCACACCCACGCAGGCGCTCAGCCGCAGGAAGGCCCAGCGAACACGGGCTCCCAATCTGTTTTCGTTCACTCAGCTGGGTGATTCCATGAATCAGCACTCAAAGGCACATGTCAAGGGGATACATTCTAATTATAGGAGCCTTTACTGGGCAGACGAAATACAAAGTCCCCCTTTCTTCTCCTTGAAACTTCAGACTTTCCTCATTAAACTTGCATGCCTGGATAAGTGGCCTCTGAATGTTTTAAATGGCTTAAGAGGCAGCAAGGATAAAGCACAGGCCCTAGCATCTGGTTTTGAATACTGGTTCTGACACATCCTAGTGAGATGACCCTGGACAAGTTATTTAACGTCTCTGAACATCAGTTTTATCATCTGTAAACTAAGGATAATAATGGGGAATAGGTAGTGCCAAGCACAGAGTCACCTAACAAATGACAGCTATCACCACCATCACCACCACCAGTCATCATATTATCAGTAACCAGTAATGTG